GTTCCTCTACTCGTTGACACCCCTCGCAGCAGAAACTTTTGATTCGCTCGTTATAAAACGTTTGTTAATTTCATTTGATGGTGGAAGTTTTTGGCCAAGTTCTAAGGCTGTTTTTGATGAAAATCTGAGAGATGCAGTCGCTGCAGGAAAAATAGCCGCTGGCGGTTCTATTTTTAACAACTTACTGGCAATGGAAGAGATTAGTAAATCGTTTCCAGAAAATGCTCAATGGACTTCAATATTTCCTGCTTTTCCGGCAAATCTTGTATGAGAAAAAATTTTTTAAAATATTATTTTTTAAATAAAATAAACAACAAAATATTCTCTAAATTTCAGGTAGCAACAGCTACTTCTGGTGCAATGATACCTCTGGAATTCAACGAATGGCGTGACCATCAACGTTCGGCCCTATATAAATTATACGATCGAGGATTTCTTCCAAAACCAGATGGTGATAAAATTGTGTTGGAATGGAGAATTTCAGAAAAGAAACGAAAAAATTGGAAACGCTTTTTTAGTTTATTTAAAACCCCAAAAACATCTCCAATAATTACAAACAAGGAAAGAGATATTGCATTCCGTGAATACATCAAATCAAAAATTGAAGCATCTATGGATATACAAAAAACTTCTGCAATGTCCATTAATTCAATGGGAATCGGTGCTTTGATAAGCTCATTTGTATTATTCGCCTTGTATTTTCCTTCTCTGTTTGGGGTAAAAATTCCAGAAGTTCTTGAAAAAATCTTTATAATTATGGTTAACACACCAACAGAAATTATTTCTTTTGCTGCTGGAATTTTTTCGGCAAATAATTTTGGAGCGGAATTAATAGAAAAGTGGTGGAGTACAGACGATATGAAAAATAAACAAATGGTAATTGATATAAACAATTTAAAAAATGTTGTATCAAATATGTATGCTTATAGTTGAAGATAAGGGAAACCAGACATGGTCATGGATACGGATATGGATACAGATAATACCAAAATGCCTGCGGATATCCACCTGTATTCGTCTGTATCCGCCGTAAATATGCGGATACGGATACCAAAATCCGTATCCGTGTCCTAGTCTGAGGAAAACCGTTTCTCAATAGGGCAACTAAAATGCCCCAAATATATTTTTAACAAAATTTTCTAGTTCCACATTTTTAATTTTAGGTTCGACTTATCATTGATCGAACAATAGAACAAATGAAAACCCCTCATGAAGGGATCCAAGAAATTAAGCAAAAGGAAGTTAATGAAATATATCATACAAAATCGAATAAATTAACCTATAAATATGGAAAAAGTGTTACGAAACTTATGATCGTGGTTTCTGAAACCGTTACTAATTCTTGGAATAAAATGTGGAGAAAACCCATTTCAAAATCATTATTTAAGAAAATAAATATTGGAAAATTGGCATTACCGTTTTATAAAGGTTTGGAATTAAATAAAAGGAAAAGATAAAAATAATCTTTAATTTATAGAAAATGAAGTGAAGGAAGATTTAACTTTCAATTTATCCTACTTAGAGGATGATCTTTTGAAGGATATACCGGATATGCCTGGATATGATGAAGAAAAATTTAGCAAGTTCATGAATGAAATTTGTAAATAATATTTAAAATATTTGCTCAAATAAGAAGGAATAATTAAGTTTATCTAATTATAGTAGGTAGTGTGATAGTTTAGCAGACAATAACTGTTGGGAAGTATTCCTCGTACCTCCATGATACAAGATATCTGGGTGAATTGGCCTATTTCCCTATTAATTTACTATTTTAGCACCTTATCATGAGAAGCACAAATTGAATTTAACGGAAAGTCATCATTATATGACTATTGTCTCCAACTGGAACAATACTGGCAATCTTGATTTCGAAAGAGTCGAGAATTATCAACTAGTCAATAAAAGTGTAGTTGAGGGATTAAATTTTGTAAAATTTTAAATAATAATATTAAAAATATGAAAATAATAATATTAATTACAAGTTTAATTTAAATTCTAATTAATCGAATTTGGACTTAGGATTATAGATCTAGGACTTATAATGTTGCTAAGAGACCCAAATTAGGATCCGGAAAATTAAAAATAAGAGTCTCTCCACAATAATCAAAAGTGGATTTTTTATAATTATTGTGGGTGTAGAAATTGTGGGCAGATTTCTACAATTAAATAAATTTTACAAATTTTTGTGAAATTTAATGTTTATTTTATAAGAATAACTATCTTAACATTAAAAAAATAATTGGGATTAATAAGCAGTTTATTCCACATGTTATGATATTCCAAACAAATAATCTTATTGTTACTTAAATCATTTTTTTAATAATTTGTTTTTAGTCGGACAAAAATCTAAAAAGCTTAAACAAAGCTTTAAAAAATTTTGAGACGAACATTGAATTAAAGAGTAAAATTCTAAAATGCGGGTTGTACGGGAAAATTGTACATTTTACCGCTTTGGAGATTGATAATCAGGATAAAATAGGAAAATCTGGGTTACTTGAAGATGAGGAATTAAATGGAATAAAGGATGAAATCACAAAAAATATAGATAATTATTTAATACAAAACGAAGGAATTTTTGTTAAAAAGGAAGGAATTTCGAAAATATTTTCAAACCAAAATGGGGAAAATGAAGAAAATAAACGTGAAAAATTGAAAAAGATAAACCTCAAATATAAACTGAGAAAATTATTTTTGTTGAGATTGAAAATAAAATTGGCTGAATTGAAAGGACAAACAGTCGAGGGAATTGGTTTGAAATTTTAATAAATTTTTAAAAAATATTTGAAATATACTTTTTTTATTTTTAATATTATTATAAATAATTAAATTTTAATTTTTTCCATTAAAGTAAATTCTCCTATTTCTTTGGAAGGAATAATCGAAAAATTAAAGAAATTGGGTATTAAAGAAAATGCCCCAGAGTTTCTAGCCGAAATAATTCACAAAATTGAGTCTAAATGTGAATTTAAAAAGACAACAACAAGTTTCGTTAAATCTCTTCTTCCATTCAAAAATGAAGGAGAAACAGAGAAAATAGAAAATAATTTAAGAAAACAAACAGATATCGTTAAAAAAGATTTTGAAGAGAAATTAGATGAAGAAATGAAAAAAACTTTGACAAAAGATGATGAATTTAAAAGAAAAACTTGGGAAAGACTTATGGATTTGGCTACTAAACGTTTAAATTTAAAAAAATATTTGACGAGAATGGCTAAGGAAACCAGAGATTTTGTAAAAATTTTGGACAAAAATAAGAAAAAATTGGATAAACAAAAACTAGTTTTAAAGGATATTAAAAAGATAGAAGAGTTTAGAAAGAAGGTAAGAATAAATTTTAAATAGTTTGTGGATATATTAAAAATATTATCAGAGTAATTTTAAACCTTTTTCTCTGATACCTTCTCTAATAATTAATTGTATTAGGCATATTACTTAGGTTTTCTAAAATAAACATTATTTTCTTTCAAATTTTTAAAATTCGAATTTCTCAATTTAAAAACAAATTAATTTCAATTTTATCCTCTCTTAATTATAATCACCCCAACGAATGAGAAATTGAAAAAAATAATTAATCAGGGTATTTGTTTGAGCATATGTTAGATAGATTAAATTTCGATAGGGGATTTAAGATGAGCTTCTAATAGAGGCGAACTTCAATTAGAGTTAATTTGGAAATAACTTTCTTTTATTTTAGGTGGATACTGAAAATGTGGTTTACAAAAAGCGTATGATCGAAAAATTCGAATTCCTTAAAAAGAATTGGGAAGAAATTGTTGAGAAAATTAAAGAAATTCCAACAAATGTCAAAAAAACTTTAAAAGAAAATGGCCATTTATTTATTGGTTATTGCTTAGCAAAACGTTTCCAATTTGTTTTTAACGATGAAGGACAGGCAAAAACAAAGTTTTATAAAGATAACAATTCATATCTTTTGAAATATGCGACAGAAATTAATGGAATATTAGGTCCAAGAAGATTAGACTTGGAATATTACAAAAAACTTGAAAATAAATTTAAAGAAAATATTGAAAAATTAACAGAAAATCAAATGGAGGCAGGAACCTCCACTGAGACAGAAAAGTTGGGTAAAATGATAGATTTAATTTTGAATGATTATTGGGGGAATATATGTGTTATTGACAGAGATAATGTTCAATTTGAAAAAGCAGATGAATGGAAACTACAAACAGGTAATATGATAAAATGTTATAGATTCCAGTCTTTCGATTTACATATTTTTCGGTTCGTCTCATCTTTCTAACATAAGTCGAAGAATGGTACCACTCATTATGATCGTAAAAGCCTGGGGACAGAGATATAGGTCTGAGATATTTATACATATCTCTCAGACATATACCCTCAGTCCCTATACCTGGGGATTGAAAGAGGGGACATATACATTTGCGGGCATATAACGGCTAAATTACTTAATTATCATTAAATACTTTATATTTGTTATCCTCGTTTTCTAACGTTTCGAGGAAAAATAAACATTAATTTTTTAATTTATTATTTCACACAGTCAATACAATACTCAATGACAATTTCAATCTTGCTGATCTGAAGTTCGCTGATATTAATCCTGATGACTTTAATCATTTGAACAAAGGAAGCAACGAATGGGCAAACTTCAAAAATGGAGCTTGTAAGAAATAAATTATATTTTTATTTTATTTTTAATGTTTTAAATTTAAGTGGAACGTTTCAATTTACATAAACTAACATTTACTGAGGCACATATAATAATTGCCTCCTTTCATAAAAATTTGAGTGATCATATAGCAGCAAGTGATATAACATCAATAATCAAAAAAGAATTGTCTAGTGTTGAAACTTCAATCGAATTAAAAGAAAAATTAAAAGCCTGTGGCTTGTCTGTTTATGTATTGAAATTTGTTTTAAATGAAAATCAAGGCGAAGAAGGAAATCGTTTAAAATCATTTACTCGATTCTTGTCAAAAACCCGAAAGAATGATAGCAAGAAAGAATTGCCTGAAAATATGAAAAAATATTTAGAAAATTTTAAAAATAAATGTGAAGAATTAATCAAAGAAAATAAAGATTTGAAAGAATTGAATAAACTTGTTGAGGATAATACAAATTTAAATGAAGTTAAAAATAATTTAATTATTGAAATTAACAAATTTGAAAATAAATTGAATGAAAAAATTAAAAAATTGGAGAAAACAAATTTAAAAAATGAAATTAAAAAGAATGAAGATTTGGAAGGAAAATTGAAGAAGGAAACAAAAGAATATATTGGCAGATTAAAGGAGAAATTGGTCTTTTTAGTTGGAAATTATGAGAAATTAACAGACAAAGATTCGGTTTGTTTAATTTAAAATTTTGAATGAATTTACTCAAAAATGAAAATAAAATATTTAATTTAATTTTAGACTTCACGAAGTAATGGACAAATAAATACTTCAAGTTTAACAGCAATTCTTTATTGTTTAGCAAATAAATTTTTGGAAATGTTTACTGAAGATGGAGTTGTTAATATGGATATTTTATTACAAAATATTTCAAACACAAATTTGATAGAATATGGAATGGAAATGAATGAAAAATTGGGAAAGAAAAGAGTTGATAAAATGTAAATAAATATACATATACAGTTAATGTCCTAATAGAAGCCCTCGGAGTATATTTTTCGATGGGTCCCATTAATTTGGAATGGGGTCTACTTTGAAAATAAATTGAAAACCCGGATTTATAAAAAAATAATAGGTTTTTCGAGATGCAAAAAGCCAGGAATGGGCCTATCCTAAGTTATAATTCCGAATAAATTATTTAAACTAGGGTTCAGCGGGATCGGGATTCCGAAAATATACTCGTATATTATTAAATTTCGGATTAACTTACTCAATTGAAAATAAATTAATATTTTTAAAGGTATTATCAACAAATTCTCAAAATGATTGGAGAAAATAGTAATAGTGAACTAGAAAAATTAAAAGAGAATTGGAGTAATTATTGTTACATTGACAAACAAAATGTTGAATTTGAAAGACCCGAGGAATGGGCACTTCAATATAGTAAAATTTTTATAAATAATTTAATTATTTAAATTGAATTAAAGAAAATGAAATTGGTTTACAAGAGGATGGTTTTCGTTTGGCATTTTTGGGAGAAGATAATGATGCCCTATTGTTAGCAATTAATGATCGAAAGAATGGATTAACAACAAAACAAAAGGAGGAAATATTTAAAGAAATATGTAAATTTAATTTAAATATTTCTTTAAATAAATTTATTTTTTAGTAAACAATTTCCATCTTCACAAAGTCACTTTCTTAGAAGCTCATAAAATGCTTGGTTTATCCACAACTACAACAAACCCAACTTCGGAAATAGCAGAAACGTCTTCATCCCAAAAACACGAAGAAACATACAAAAGAATTAAATTCGAATTGAGAAAGGTTTTTAATTTTTAAAAAAATCCACAAAATTTCCTAACTTTTGTCCTTGCCTAAGAATTTCAAATACATTCGGACTAGGGGCATCATTTATCCTCTTGGAACCTGAAAAAGATTTCTGGCCAAATTAAGAAAGTCGTATAAAAAGAGATATAAGCATGCGAAGAAGGGTCCGACCATAATATTTAGAAGATTCTTTACTCTGTAAAATTCTTAAAAATTATTTATTTCAAACAAATTTAGATAGGAAAAATCTTTAAAAATCAAAAAGAAAATGAAGAAGTTATGGAAGAAATTCAAAATGAGGAAGACGAAGACGAGAAAGCTTTAAATGTTTTAAATAAACAATTAACTAATTTAAAGAGTGTCAATTCTCAATTCTTCCAACAATTTGAAGGAAATATTAAATCAAAAACAGAATGGCAAAAATGTTTAAATTATGTTTTACTTTTGAAAATATTTGTAAAAAATAAATTGAAAATGGAGGAAATTAAAAATATAATTTTTGGAAAATTGGAAAAGGAATGCAAATTAAATGACAAAAAAGTGGATAAAGAAATTGAAAAATTGTATCAATTAGTTAAAGAGAAAAATGTTGTGACTGTTAAAGAATTAAAAAATTTAGAAAATAATTTAAACAAATTATTTAAAGAATTCAAAGAAATTATTGGCCAAATTGAAAATAAAAATCAGTTAATGGAGTATTTTGAAGAATTGAAAAGTATTGAGAAAAAATCTGAAGAAAAGGGACGCCGAGTTGAAATTATTGAAAAAATGGATAATTTAGTGAATGGAGAAAATATTGAAGATTTCGATGAACGATTAAAAAATAAATATGAATTTTTGGTAAAAAATTGGGAAAAATTGTTCTTAACTAAAATACACAATGAAGAAGAAAAAAATATTTTTTATAAACAAATATTGCCTGAAAGTGAGAAAATTAAAAAGGAATTTAAAAATTCTGGTCCCCTTTTTGTTAAATATTGTTTAACTAAAAGAATTGAAAATTCATTCAATAAAGATGGAACTGTGAAATTTTCTGATTTTTTGAGTAATGGTGTTGGACAGGAATATGGATGGGAATTGAATGAAGTTTTGGGGCAGAAACGTATTGATATTGGGTAAATTAATTAATTAAATTTTATTAAATATTATAATGGAATCCTTCTAATAAGTCGCCACAATTACACGTCACTTTCGTTTTAGTGGATTTCACTTTATACTATATTTATCTAATTTTATTTTTAATACTAAATATTATTTATTTATTAATTTAAACTTTATTTATTATTTTTTAGATATTATGAGAATATAGAAAAACAAATTAAAGAAGAATTAAAATATGTGTGTGAGGAAGATTTTGAAGAAAATTTCAAAAATAACTGTGAATTATTTTTGGAACATGAATTACAATATTGGCATTCATTTTGTTCTATTGATACAGAACATTTACGTTTCGAACGTTTTGAGGAAATGAAAGTTGTTACTAACAATTATCGAAACAAAGAAGACGAAGAAAAAAAAGATTCTTTTGAGAAAGCAACTTTTGATAAATCTGGAGATGTTAGTAAATCGGAAGAAATTGAAGATGCTATTAAGAAAACAACTTCTGATGAAGTCAAGGGAGATGATGCAAAATCCGAAGGAGAAATTCAAGTGTTGTGATATTGAGAAAAAAAAAAGAGTATAAAAAAGAATGTATATATTACTAGTGGTAGTTGGAAAAAATTTTTAAAAGGTAAAGTTTGAGAAATTGTAAGAAAAAAGTCAGCCGTATACATACGGATGCTGAAATCTTTAACCGTAACCATCCCTTTTTAAATTTATTTATTTGGTATTATTTTTAATTTTATTTATTTTTAAATTCCTCATTTATTGGTAAAGGTTGTCGTTACTAAAATAATTTTTTGTAATCTGAATAGCTCATTTAAATAGTATTACCTTTTTTGTAAGGATAATCTTTTTGAATTTAAAGAGAATCTTTTAAATCCAAAAATACAACCTTTGTTTATTATTAACAAATCGAGAATGTATTTTTCATTCGCATTTATTTGATTCACATTATTTAAATATTCAATTGTATTTGTTTCAGCATTTCAGAACGGCTTTGAACCTGAAAATTTCGAAATTATTTTTGCAAAATTAGAATCGATCTTTATAAGAATTTATAACCCTCTCCGCCCAAATAAATGGGTATTTGTTTAAGCTGAACCAGGTATATATTATACATATACCCCGTTTTTTAAAATTATATTCAAAAAAAAAATTGTGAGATATAATTGAATTGAATTCTAAAACAAAAAACATTTTTAAAAATATTTTAGCTATTCAAATTTGAAATCAAGATTATTCAATTCAATTATAACTTAAAAACTTTTCATTTTGTTCACAGAAAAGTGCCGAGTAACATAGAAAAATTTTGCTACATTCAAATACTTTTTCAAAAAATTTATTCAAGATTGAAAAAATATTTGAAACTTACACGGCACTATTCATGACATTTTTTAGATGTATAGTATATCCATGTTTGGACAAAATATTTTAGATAATCTCCTCGGCTTTCGCGAAATTATACTTGTCCATACATGGATATGTATACATTATATACATACACATATATTCACAATCTGTAGTTATTTTATGCAAATTTGTAGTCGCATAAAATTTTTAAATTCTTTTAATTATTTTTGTGTTGAGTTTATAAAGATTAATTCTTTTGATTAATCTAAAATTCGGCTATCTACATATCTTTGGAAATACTTTATTCTCTTTGGTGAAAAAAGTTCATAAACCTCCATTTTACTTATATAATTAAAAACATCGACATCTTTAAAGTCACGTGCTCAAATAGAAATAGGCTTAAACTATCTCAGTATTTACAAACCAAAAGTTAGATTTCCATTCCATAATTTTTGATGGCTTAATATTTACACGAAGGGTGTAAGAAAGATGGGAATAAATTGTGGGACTTATACTCGCCGACCTTTGGTCAACTATATGTCGCTACAGCTTATGGAGCTTTCTGAAGTCTTCTCTCTTATGGAGAGAGAGAAGACTTCAGAAAATTACTAAACCGTGCGATGAACTCAGCTAGATGAATTCTTTCGGAAGATATATGTAGAATTCGACCTAGATAATTTTGTTTTGTTAATAAATGGGCATCAGACTTAACTCTAACTATTAAATCCTCTATCAATTACTTTAAAAAAAATTACGTTCAGTTGCCTACTACAAATTTCAATAAAATAAAGAAAAAAATTTGAAGTCCGAATTTAAAAAAATTTTATTCCTAAATTATTCCCCTAATATTTTTAAAAATTGAATATCACGTATTAAGTTCATTTATATAAAACAATAATTTAAAAAAAAATTCCCAAATTTAGACTTTTTTTAAATTTTTCTCGTTATTTAAATTTGTATTAAACAATCTCACGATACTGATTTCTTTTAAATTAAAGAAACAATTTATATTTTATTATTCAAAGAATTGCCGGAATTAATAAAAAAAATTAAAGTCATTTTTCTTTAAAAATACAAAAAATTAATTTTTATAGTTTATATTTAATAAAAATTTTATATTTAAACCAAACAAAATTTTACTTTTTTTATTTTAGTTTAATCTCGAAATATTTCTTGACAAAAGAATACAATTTAGAATTGTTACCACTTGTTCTTGGTTCGTGTCCCCTCATTTTGTATTTTCAACCCCCTCAAGTTCCAATGTTCGTTATTTCAACTTTTAAGGAAGTAAAAAATATTTTTATAAAACAAGGGTTAATTTTTAAAATAATTATTATATTTTAAAAAATCAGAATAAACGCATAAAAATTTAAAAAGAAAATTTTTTATTTAAAAGTTGTTGATCATTTTTTAAAAATATCCGAATGTGTTTAATAGGACCTAAAAAATTTGGCCCAAAAAAGACTCGTACGGCCCGACTCGATAAAAACAAACCTGAAAAATGCCTCGTAAAAATCTGGCCCGACTCGAATACTATAATATTTTTACCAGCTTTTTGGACAAAAATCGGAGAAATTTAGCTTATTGGCTCTTCAGAATTCTCAAAATTTTCGCCAGCGGCGCTAAAAAGGGAAGAACTCTGAACCAAATTTTGAAATCTGAACCATTTTTAAAAAGATTTCTTTTTAATTTTTATTTTTCATTAAAAATATTCAGATCCAAATCTGTTTATCAACAAGAAATAAAATTTTTTTAATTAGAATTTTTTAAATATAAATTCAATTTTAAATTAATTGGATACATAAATTATCTTTATTTTTAAAATTTATGCTTTGTATTTTATTACATAAATACTTTTTTTGTCATTATTTTATTTATTTTCAGATTCGAATTTTTTAATAAATAAATACAAATTTTTGAATATATATAAATTGAAATAAATTAATTAAAATAATTATTTTTATTAAAATTAATATAAAATTAATAATAAATAATGTCTTCATCTTCAAATTCTTCTTCTACTGTAAAGGTTTTAAAATAAATTAAAATTTATCAAATTTTATTTTTTCGATATTTTTTTTAATTTTAAAATAAAAAAATATTTTATTTTGAGTATTTTTCTAAGAGTGCTGAAAACTAGTGGGATAATATGATCTTTAAAATTATTAAGATTTCCAAAAATTGCTCTAGAATAGGCAGAATAAAAGTTTAGTAGCTTTTAAAGGAGCAAGCTTAATACCTAGTAATTTTACTTAATTTGTACTCAAGCTAGGATTAAAATTTTACCATAATTTAAAAATAGAGACTGGACTTAAGGGACGATCTAAAATATTGCTATCTGTTGAGCTATTAACCTAAAAATAGTTCAAAATAAACATCCTTTTCTATTGTTTATTTTGAAAGTAAAAATATACAAAATAATTTTTAAAAACATTAAATAGGTAATTTAATAAATTTTAATTAATTAGAATGAAATGAATCAAATGTTTTATGGAACTGGTCCTTCTGCTTGGCTAATAACCCTTTTTGGTATTAAAGTTATAATTGCAATTGTTGGTTCTACGTTGAATGGAACTCTTGCTTATGTTATTTTACGAAATAAGTAAAAAAAATTATTATCTTATTCTTAAATTTTGATTTTTTTAAATTTCGATATACATATAAGGAAGGATTTTAAATATGTTATTAATAATTTTGAAAATTCATCTTTTAAAAAACCATTATAATTAAATTATCATGACTAGGGGCCGGATATCCGCAATTTTCGGTTCTGATAAAAGGTCCGGATATTCGGGGATTTCCCAGTAACCACCAAACCTAACTATACTAACTTTACTGAACTAGTGTTTAATTCTCTCTCTAAAGAAATGTAAAAAGAGAAGTTACTTAATATTCGACTAAATACCTGTTTTTAGTTTCTATTGTTCAGTTATTCCATTTAAATAATAAATTACTAATTAAAAATCTCTTAAATTAAAAAATATTTATCTTTTTCAGATCAATGAATTCTCTCTGTAATAAATTAATCGCCTGTTATTCAATCGGTTCAATCTTCCAACAACTTAATTTTTTCGTTACTTTCGCAACTGTAATTACCGGAAATAATTTTATTTCCTACAAAACTTGTGTTTTAATCCAATTACTTCCAATATTTTTCTCTTTCTTCTCCTTTCCCTTAACCTTTTTTATTGCAATTGAACGTTTTTTGGCGATTTTCTTTCCAATTTGGTATAAAAAACGGAATGGAAATAATTTTTTGATTATTATTTTACTTTGTTGTTTTGTTCTGGGAAGTTATGTTACTTCTGTTGATATAATTACTTCTTTTGGAAGTCCTAATACGTGAGGGATATTTTTTTAATTTTAGAGGGTATGAAAAAGAATTTATATTTCCTGGCTTCCAGTCATATTCCAGACTTGAAGAGAGAATTGGCAGATGAAAAAGGAAGTAGAAAATTCTTCTTCCTGTTCCACTGAATAGAACTCCTAATGAATTTTTTCAACCTTTTGAGACAATCTAGATTTGTCTCTTATTCCAGATCCCTCCCAAATTGCGATATAAATTTATATCTCCTGGCTTCCTGGCCTCATTCAACCACATCCATGCCCAGTAACTATAATAACCCACAACCTCTCTTTCAAATATAAAAATAAATTAGTAACTGGTATTAATTTAAAAATTAATAAATTAAATAATCATTAAAGTCTTGTAATTTGTGCTATTGGCCCTAAAATTGATGCTTCTTTAGTCAACTATCTTATTCTTGGAATGAATTTTGGTTCAATTTGTGCTTATTTAGCTGTCTGGATTCGAATAAAATTCGCTGTTGGGAACTATACTGATTATCAGAGTTTGTGTTTTTGAAGTTTAACAAATATTTAAAGTCGGACTCACTATAATATAACCATGGAATCTTATAATTAGGTTATCCTAAATTATCAATCTCTCCCAGACCCAATGGCTGAATTTTTTCTCATCGTGAATTTTTGAATTTGAAAATGAAACTGAATTTTTTCTCCTCATTATTCTTACAAATATTTTATAGCTCATCTTTTAAAATGTCTTTTTGTTCTTTTACTTCTTGAACTTTTTGGTTGGACATTTAGTGTTGGTTTGCGAGTATTTATTGGACCTTTATTTGGAATTGTATCTGGAACTTTTTTAAATTTTTTAATTATTAATTTGGCAACAAATATTGCTTATATTGCTATTGCTCTTAATTTGCCCGTTTTATACACTTTTAGGTAAATTTTTAGTTTTTTGTTTTAGTTAGACAAAAGCGAAATAGTATTAACACTTCACGTTAAAATAAGAGAGACAGTGTCTGCAGTACAAATAAAAATTTAATTTTAGCAAAGAACACCGAACAGCTTTAAATAAACAATGGGTCAAAATAAAAGCCATTTTTCGATTATCAACAGTACACGCAACTGGACAGCAACCTGCTAATGCTGTTTTTGTTGTTCCGAATGCCATTTCTCGACAACAGACTTCTTCTCAGTCATTAAAAACATATGGTATATCAACTAGAGAATATTATTCCATTTTATTTTAATTTTCCAGGAAGAGTATATAGCAAAGCTATGTAACAATGGAATTTTATTCATAAAGAATGACGTATTTTTTATACAATATATTGATATATAATTTTTATTTTAAATTTACATATATCTACAATTTTTTAAATTTTGCTCTCTATTTACATACTTTCTTAATAATTAAATTAATAAAAATTAGAATTTACATAAGAAATTTAGGATTAACACAAAAATAAATAAATCGTTGAAATCTACACTCAACAAGATATCTCTTAGTTTTTTGTGAACTTTGAAGAGTTTAATCCCTTAATATGTATATGCATATTAAGAACGAACATTTGTCACGTTTGCGACTCTAACTAGAATGATAATAATAGATAAATTTTTTAAATTTAGCTTTCTACAGAGAGCTAAATTTAAAAAAAAAAGTTTAAATTTTTATCTCTTTTTAATGAGTCGAGCCATAAATCCCATTATGACGACGATATGATGAAGGACGTGGCATTTTTATTAAAACGTCTGATTGACTCAAAGTTTTATAGAATTTAATACATTAAATGTGGAAATACATTATTTGTTATCGTGTTTTTGGTATGTCTCCGTAAGTTAGCTCCAAAGCTTACAAAGCAGTGTTGCGTCGCAATTACGCATTACGATTACGAAATTTTCTTAAGTTACGAAGTACGTTTACGAAAAAAAAATTTTTTGATTACGACGCAACGCTGCTACAAAGCACAAAAGCCCAACACAGCCATAATAATTTTTCAATTTCCCAATGAAAAGCCTTTTTATTTATATTTTAATTAATATTTAATACATAATTACATAAAATATTTTAGTATTTCACTCATATATTTTAGCGAAAATTTTAATTAATGATTGTTTTAAGCTGTTCAAACAAGCTTTTCATTTATTTCATTGAAAGGATGTTTTATTTAATATACCCAAGCTTCATTAATAAAAAAGCTTTTTTAGTCAATTTCTCATCATTCTCTAAGTTTCAATAATTTAATTACATAGATTTCGGTTGCCATAGAAATTTTTTAAATTTAGCTTTTAATTAGAAACAAATTACAGTTTAGGCCTCTCTGGAATTATACTTAGTATTTCAAGAATAAAGAAATAAAATAAAGATTTCTATTTATAAAGAGCAAAGCCTCATCTTCAATGGTATTATACGGTTATAAAAAATAATTTAAGATTTGACAAAATGTCTTATTATTATTCAATTCAAAATTCGGAATTTGATGATAACTATAATATTTCAACACCCTATACATTTAATTGTGATAGTGGATTTAGTTATCCTTCCTTTGATAATGATCGTGTTAGTTTGGAAGATTTGGAAACACAAATTGATAAAGAATCCCTTATATGTTATTCTAGCGTTGATAGTAAAACTGTGAACAAAAACAATTTAAATTTGGAATACAAACGAAAAAATAATTCTAATTCTGTATATTAATTATGTTAATTAATATAATAAATAGTTGACATTCTATGTTAATCCGTTCATTACACATAGGGATGTCATAAGAAAAATTAGTGTCAGCCTTGTATTTTGAGTACATGAAGGAATACCCGTATTTATGCCTTTTGTAATCAAAAACTATTTTAAAAATCGTACAAATTATTTAAAATAAAACCTTAAAAATACAAACTAAAATATCAAATTTTAGCTTATGAAAATGCCGATGAATTGTGTTGTCTGTGGTAAATCAGCCAAATTTTGTCATTTTGATGTTCCAAGTTGTTCAGGTTCTAAATATTCTAAAATTAATTCAATTCAGTTTAAAGGTTGTTTTTCATTCTTTCGTCGATCTATACTAGATCAACACTTGTATGTCTGCAAAAATCAAGGAAATTGCAGAATTGAAGAGGGTACTAAATAAATTTTAAATTAAAAGGAATTCTTTGAAGGAGAATTCTGCCGTTCCTGCCGTTTTGACCGTTGTCTTCTTGGTGGAATGAACTTTCGAACAATGCAAAAATTTCCAAATGGAATTGATATTAATAATATTTCTGCAATGTTAAATGAGAAAAAACGTCAACTTTTTGAAAAAGCTGCAAAGTCTCAAAGATATCCAAATTTTGGTCAATATGATGTGACAATGGTAATGGATTATCTGAATTCTTTAATCTTTAGCAAGTAAAATCCAAATCTGATCCGAAAAATATTTTTGTCTTGATATTCTTTAGAATTCTTCGATTTATTATTTTCGAAGATTTTTTGGGGTCTGTCCAAAACAAAAATTAAGATATGTATGTATATGTATATCGCATGTCATTCCTATTTCCCACAAGAACACTTCAAGACTTCTTGGTCTTTCAAGTCATTTATTATTCATTATTTTAGCAACAAGAATTTTCATCTGGAAACAGTAAACCTGAAGTTGAGTTATTACAATTTTTGTTATATTCTGACGATAAACTTTTACACATTCGGTACTCTGAGACAGATATTTCCCCAAACTATTATAATAAAAGTATGTCTGATATTCTAAATAATATTGATGGTGGAGGCTTATCAGATTCTATTTTGGCAAAATCCGATATGTTTTCGGTAAAATAAGCAATTTATTATTTTAAATTTTATATAAAATTTATCAGAAACGAAGGAGAGTACCTAAAAGCCTTGACTTTTTCATGCAACAATTGAGGGAAGGTGTAGAAATAAAACCAAGATGGGTAACAATCGACTCATTTTTAATTATTGAAATGACAAAAACAATGCCAGTACTTGGTCAACTCTCATTTGAAGATAAGGTTTATCAAAGGAATATATGTACTACAGAACGGATCTCAGTTTTTTATACATACATGGGGCTAAAAATCGTATAATATGATGGGATGCTTCCTATGATGCGTCCTAGGCAACTCAGACTGAATTTAAAAAAAAATTATAGTAAACTTTGTGTATTAATTTTGAAGTATGTAAAACTGAGATCTGATTGTATATTACTAAAAGTAAAACAAAAAATTTAGATTCATCTTTACTCTCGAAATGGATTGACAGCAATTGTTTTCAGTATGCTCTTTTACAGTAAAAACCTCCAAGGAAGTGATGTATTAATATCTCCTGCTGGAATGAGTCCTATATTAATTAAAAATGACGAAACTGCTCATCTTCGATTTTATAAGCATTTAATCAGAATAGCAGAATTTAATTTAAGCAGAGAGGAATTTTTGATTCTTAGAGTTTTAATCCTACTTCACACAGGTTTTTCTAAAAATATGAATTTTGTGATGATATAGAGAAACATGTTTTTAGATATCCCCCGATGCTTATAATTAAAGACCTAATTTTTATACAATTGCATATTTTTTAAACATGGCATGATGTCTTGTTACCTCTAGGGTTCTTCTATATTTAGTAAAAAATAACTTAATCACAAATTAATATTAGTCCCTATCATAACAAAAAATATTAAATATTTAATGTTTATTATTTAGCTACAACAGAATTGTCAAAAATCGGATTTGGAATAATACATGCTGAACTTGAAAAGCTTTCCAAAACTTTGTTGTTTTACGAACAGCACAAATGGGGTGATGCGAAAGGGGCAGAGAGATTTGCTAACTTGGTAGATATTTAATTATTTAAAATTCTAATTATAATTCTGTGATATGATAGAATCCTTATCGTATTAAAGCTTTTCGAATATTTTTATTGTGGAGGGCAGTTCCAGCCACAAATTATCTAACCAAATTAAAAAACATCATAATTTTGTATCTAATTTTGGAGGTACCGCATTTTCTCGATTAGTTCCCTCCCTTAAAGTTGAAAGATTAATTCCCCAGTTGAAGGACTTTTAATTTTTATTTTTCCCTTAATTTACTCTTTTATCTATTCAGATGATAAACATAAGACCGATATTGAACATTGGCAAAATACATAAAAATCATGCTAGAAGTCGTGCAAATAATTTTCCTACATTTATGAATAGCTTAATATTTGAGAATTGTGAAGAATGAAATTTAAATACGTACACAAATTGTGCTAAAAAATTAAAAATTAATATTTATTATTATAATAAATAAAGTTTAATTAATTTTTCTTGGATTTAAAATTTTTACATTTTTGTCTCATAGACTTTTATAATACATACATACATATATGTATAATTATTTATGGTGGCACAACACTGGCACAGTTTTCTCAATTAATTTCCCATTCTCGAATAATTCCCCACCCCGGTTAATTCAATATCTTACTATTTATCAAATAGAGAGGAATAATAACGCAATGAGGAATAATCTCAGTCAATTAGGTATAATTCCACCACAATTACTCTTTTAATTTGTGCTATTGGCTCAAAAATTAATGCTTTTTTGTCATATTCCTATTTTATGAATGAATTATCGTTCAATTATTGCTTATTTATTTGTCTCACGACTCCGTTATCCTTCTTAACCACCAAATTTGGGATACTAAAGAATTTGTAGAATTAAGGGAGATATCCAAGTAAATGACAAGACACAATCTTTTTACATAATTGCCTTTTGCGGAGTGTAAACGCGAGCTGGATATTTACCGCTGTCTGGATTTGAATAAAGATTTTTGCTGGAAACTATACTGATTTCAATGTTTCTTTTTTTAAGTTTAATAATTATTTCAAGTTGGACCTCGCTAAAGATAACTTGGAATATATGATGACGGTATCCTAAATTAGGTAACCTATCCATCTTCCCAGTGGCCAACCAAGCTTTATGAAAGTAACATGTATTGAACTTTTTAGAATTTCCTGGTACTTTTTCCCTGCTTTTTTAAATTTTTAATTATTACTTTGGTAACAAATATTGTTATTGCTCTTAATTTGCATGTTTTTCTTAGAATTTTTACTTAATTTAAAATCTTATAGAATTTTACATTAAATGTGAAAATAGTAAATATATTTGTAAAGAGCTGGCAAAATAAGCAAGGTTGTTATGTATAGTTGTTTGAGTCAATTTCCTTTTTCATTTTGTCCACCATTTATTTTCTTAATTGCAGGGCTCTCATCGAGAAAATGTTAAGTTAAAGTGCAGAAAGTTAATTTATAAGTCCATTGTGGAAAAAAATTTTCAAATTATTAATGCGCTACAAAAATACACAAACTTTTTTAAATTTATTCATACTATTTGAAAGAAAAATCTGAAATTCTAGAAAATAAAGCTGAAATCTTCCAATCAACCTCTGAGTTAATGGAAGGATTAATCAAATAAAATTAGGTATACATTTTTTATTCAAAAATAAATTTTTTTGTTTTTTTTTCTAAATTTTATTTTTTGTAGTTTGAAAATTTTTGCTTTCTAACTTTCATTAAAACTTAAAATAAACAAATCCACGTTTTCATCTGCCTCTAATTATCTATGTCTCATTTCGAAATGAGATTTTTTATATAATTAATTATTAATCATAAATACATATTTGTGTAATTTCCCACCCGTGTAAAGAAAGCGGATTGTTTCCAGCTTTCTTTGGTTTTTACAATTTCATTCTAAAAATATTCTCAACTTCAATAAAATAAAATAAATTGTTCGCTTTTTAATAAAATAAATATTTTTTGTGAAAGAAATTGATTTTAATAGGAAGAGAAATTTCTAGGAAATTAAGTTTGAGAAAAGAAAATTTGAGTTAAATTTACTTAAATTGAATAATTTGGAAAAGCTCAGCCGGTGAGAATGTCGGCACCCTTTCGTAACCAAATCCGGCTTCTCGTTCAAGAAGCGGAGGAATTATTGGAAGACCCCAAGTCCTTTGTTCTCCCAGTGCAGACTGGAAGTATATCCCGATTTCACGCACAAATACGCTCCCTTATTACTTCCCTTGACTCAGAATCCCAAATCGTGACTGAATTATTTGACAACATTACTAATGAAAATGACAGATGGATGGCCACGAGAACGTCTATGACTGGAGCTGAAAGACTGGCGGACAACCCAATTTATGATGAATTTGTCACAGACGTGCCTTATCCCACCACATTACGTAAATTAATGAAATATAACAGAAAACTCCACTCTGAAAGAGGGACATTATCAGCAAATTTGCCCGACCCCTCCCAAACCACCGACACTCTATTCCATCTCCCAAAACTGTCCCTTCCTAAATTTAGCGGTAAATGCGTGGAGTTCACCTCATTCTGGAATGCCTTCCGAGTCGGAGTCCATGATCTCTCTAATATTTCGGACTCGGTGAAATTTAATTATTTGAAAGAATGTCTCGAAGGTCCCCCTCTCCTACTAGTAAAATCCCTTCCCCTCACAGAAGCTTCTTACCACGAAGCAATCCGCTTAATTCATGAGAATTTTGGCAATATAAACGAAATTAACCGTACTCTCCACCACGCCATCCGAAAATTACCCGTCGTTCACTCTGTGAACGGTCCCGAAATTTTATGTACTGAATTACGATCTTTCGTCGACCAATTCGAATCGCTTTATTTGCAAATGCTTGAACAACACTTTGATGTAAATACTCTGCCCGTTCAAATGGAACTCGAATCGAAATTACCCCCTCAAATTTTAGAAGAAGTGTTCAGAGACAAAGAAACTCATGGACAAGACTGGAACACGGACCAACTTCGCAACACTTTGAAGTCAATATTAAAAAGAAAAGAAGGTGTAAAAGCCCTTAGAGACCAGAAGAAGGAACTTAATACACAGGACAGGCCCTCTAATTCTCCCAAACAGTTCAGGCAAGTTGGAAATTTTCGTTCCCCAAATATGCCTCAATCCTCTCTGACATTTTCCACCTCTAGGCCGAATAACAGACCAGGGATGTATAAATTCCCCTGTGTTTTTTGTAATCATCCTAATCACCTCTCCCACCTCTGTTCGAATTATAATACCCTTCAAACACGAAAATCCCGACTGCGAGAAAAGAAACTATGTTTTAATTGTTATAAGCCTGACCATCTCGCTAGATCCTGTCAAAACCCAATTACGTGCACTAATTGTCGAAATCTCCATCCCCGTGCTCTCTGTCCAAATTTATTTAATCCCCAACAACAAAGAGCTCGAAATTTTGAAAATTACCATTATGGTGCAGGCAGCTCTTCACAAAACGAATTTCAACATCAACACATGACTAATTACACCCAACCTATTAGATTTGAAAATATCCCCAGAAGAACTATTCCCCCGTTATCCTCGGTTGTCCCCCCAGCCAATTTATACAATAATTATTATCCACAAACAACAAAATCAGACACGCAGAACTCTAATGAAATCCAAACTGAAAGAAATGATTCACAACAACCACAAACAAACGCCTCCTCACTCTCTACACAAAGACACCCTCAAGAATTGCCAATCCTACTGAAATGCATTAAAGTAAGATTTTTTAATCCCAATTCCCCATCCCATGCTCGTATTGGCTTTCTGTTATTGGATGACGCTAGTACACATTCATATATCCAAACATCCGAAGCAATAAATCTCGGATTGAAATTAGAACCGAAAACAGTAAATCTAGGAGTTTTCAGTGATCCGAATAGTAAACCTACCCAAACTTACTCTACAGAATTCGGCCTCTCACTTTCCGATGGCCGTTCCCTCATTATTCGAGCATGTACTATAAATTACCTGACCCAACCTACGAAATACATACCACCAACCAACAATTCAATAATCGGCCTCCCAGAATTAATTCCACCAGCCGAAGTAATTTACCCAGTTATTTTACTAGGAAGTGATTATTATTATGATTTAGAGCCTACCCCAATAAAACGTCTACCCTCAGGCTACACCCTAGTAAGCACTCTTTTAGGTCCAATTGTGGCTGGAAAGCCGTATTTATGTTCAAACAAATTATTAAATAGTTCCATCAATTTCTGCTCACAACACGAAGGAAAAATAATAGAATTTCTGACTTTGGAAGGAATTGGAATAAAAGAAGATCCTGGAGAAATTTCGGAAGATAAAGTGTCGGCCCAATTTCTGAAAGACATTAAATTTGTAGACGGGCGCTATGAAATAAAATTCCCATTCAAATCCGACCCAGCCCATTTGCCAATACCCACTAATTATTCTTTATGTTACGGACGCTTGCGTTCTGTTTTAAATTCCTTGAAAAATGATAAATCTCTCATTGTCAAATACCAAGATATACTTACCGAACAACTCCAATTGGGAATAATAGAAAAGGTCCCAACTCCTAGCCAAAATTGTGTACCACTCCATTACCTTCCCCACCACCCTGTAATACGGCAAGATAAGAAAACCGTTCGAATAGTGTACGACGGTTCAGCTAAATTGGGAAAAAACCTGTCACTTAATGAATGCTTGTTTTCCGGCCCCAACCTTTTAAATGACCTTGTTGGTCTTTTATTTAAATTTCGACTCTCCAAATATATTATTACCGCCGATATCCAAAAGGCTTTTCTCCAAATTAGTATAAATCCCTCCGATCGCGATGTAACGCGATTTTTGTGGTTAAAAGATATTTCAATTCCCTTCTCCTCGTCCAACATTGAAATTTACCGATTTGCCCGTGTACCTTTTGGACTGATTTGCTCCCCATATCTCCTCGCAGCAACAATACGACATCACCTCTCAAAAAATAAATCCGCACTCTCGCAAGAATTAGAAGAAAACATTTATGTAGACAACA